ATTCGGGTGGCCAAAGCTTTGTGGAGAGCCACATTTGGTGGACCTTGAGAGAACAAGGCAATTTCTCATTGATGTGGTCCCAGTCTTAGCCCCTGGCTCCCGCCGGCATAGCCCCGAACGGATCTGGATGAGGCTGAAGGCTGAAGGCGAATCTTGCAATTAGGATGAGGTGGTGCTGTGTCTTCCTGCTGATGGAGATGGTGGAATCCAGCACGCTATGGGAATCTGTTATTGACGACTCGGTGAACTTGTCATGTAGGGCGAGCTCGTCTTGACGGATTTGGCTTGGTGCCTCTAATTGCTCGCTCTGCTGGAATCTTGCGTCCAGCGCCGGTTGATCTTATCTTTTGATAGTTGCTGGAGGCTGATTTGCTTTGCGACTGCATGGCCTTGTACGCCACAGAAGCCTCGCCCGTGAGCATTGATCTCATCCATGCCAGAGGGAAGAAATCTTGCAGTTAGTTGCAGTTTCATGCTTTTGAAGCCAATCCGAAGCCTCGGCAAGGGCTGACAACTATTTGCTGGACTCGCGCGGGAACCTGGATGCTGCTTGTTGCAGATGAGGCCCGCAGTGAAAGCCCCCTTTGCTCACAGGTAGAGTGTACGTAGTAAAGGGGCCGGACCTGATGACCTGACGGCTTGAAGGTGTGTGGATTTGAGGAGCATGGAATGGGTTGGACAAAGCCTGAAACGGGCACCTTGTTGAGGTCTTGGGCCCCTCCGATCTTCGTGGGAACTCTTCTTGACAAATGGAAGAGAGATTCATTGGATCGGTGTTTTCCCAAGACAAGAGGGATGGGGAAGCCGAGTTGCATGGCCGCCAGGGTGCTGGCGAGCGCCATCCCAGAGAGTCTGGGCCAAGCTTTCGCGCAGATTCCGAGGAGGCGCCCCTGGCTTCCACGGGGCTAACTTTTGCTTGGTACCAGCTGCTCTGGAAATCGGAGCAACGGTATAGCTTCCGGACTCGCGAGTGTATCATTCGTGCCATCCGCTCGTCCCCTGACCTCTCAGAGCCTCCTAATCGACTTACCTTAGCAAATGGCCCGGCAGGGTTGGGCAGCTCCGGCACAGCTTCAACATCCGCGGCCACTGCCGGCTACTCCTGGAGAACACCGACCAGGACGGTGGGTTTTTTAGAAGCCATTCGTGAATGTTTGACGCGTGCCTTTTTTGCACAGTGCCTTTTTGGGCAGGGACAGCTTCCAAGGTGCTTAGCTTCCTATCGGTCCTATCGTCTATTGGAAGCAGTGCACCCTGGCAGGTGAGCATTGTATTTCAAGGCGTCACAGCAACAGCCATCTTGCCTACGCCCCTGGCACAGAAATATCTTGTGAGCTGCGCGGCTGCACTGAAACTCCGTGCAGCAGCTAGTCCAGATCTGAAGTTGTGAAAGCCTGATAACTGGTTGTCTTCCCAATTGGCAACACGAGAACAGTGTAGGTCAGCAAGAAGCCTTCCAAAATCGTGCTCAGCACCTGAGACCTCGCTCCAGGGATGGGTGCGGGCCAAGAAGTGAGCCTCGATGAGGGCAGGCTTATCGGCGGCGGCGTTCCGCCCCTTAACCGCTTAAGAGCTTGCTCCTATACTTCGGGCCACGGGCTTGAAGCCTGGTTCCCGACACAAGAATAGATGAAGACAGCACGTTATCTCGGAGCGAGAGCGACCAAGTTGCGGAGCACAACGCTCGCAAACTGTAGCTCCTGCTCCCACAACGAGGCGTGACTGTCACGGGTGATTGCCAGGTTTCACATGTTTGTCGGATGTTGCAGGATGAGTGCGTATGCACATGCGCGCACCAGAGCAAGAAGTCGCTGGTCGGCTTTCCGACGTATCCGGGAATCACGAAGCTCGTGACATTACGTGCAGTACCTCGTGCATTGTCAACTATCAGTGTTGTCGACGCGAGATAATTTTGAGAGGGTAGTGTTTCGGGGAGGTGGGGGTGCGGATGCTCCATAGTTTACAACATGTCGCGTCTGACGTTCTTTTGCAGGGGTTGGGCATATGTTGTATTTGTGGGTGTCTGTCGAGGGGGGAGGAACGTCTTTCTCTGATGCTGTGTGCTTTTCCATCTTCATGCCTCCACTGTGTCAGGGGCGCATAGTGATGCTTCTTCGAGGATCGATCTTGCTGGGCGGGTGAGAACATCCCTGAACACGATAAGGTCTATGTCTTGGCCGTGGCTTCTCAAGCATGGTAGCTGGATCCCCGAAATCCTAAGGCTTCTTAGTTCTGGGGCTTCCAGCGGTTGGTGGGGACTCTGGTGCCCTGCGCACTGCTCCGGTTCCCTCGTGGTCTTGGGGGCGGTCTTTGCTTCGGGTTTTGGTTTTGGGGCTTTCGGGGTCTTGGTTCTCTTCAAGGAGGCCCTTTTCCTTCGCCCTCCTGCCTTTGCTCCCGAACCTCTTTCCGATTCGCCTGGACTTAGGCGACGTGCCCGCCTCGAGGGGTACTTGCATGAGTGACAAACCGCCTCCCCAGGACCTTGAAATTTGGATTCCCTGGCCGAGGCTTTCTCTCAGCTGCCGGTGGCCGCAGGTGCTCTTTCCCGGGCTCTGCAGCCTGGTCGTGTCCCGCACCCGCACGACGTCGAGTGGGAGCTCGTCCGTGACGAGCCCTCAGCCCCTAGTCCCCCTATAGTGGTTCTAACTATCTTAGGAGCCCTCAGCCTTTTCGGTTTAGGGCCTCTCCTCCTTTGGGTACTCAGCCTGTCAGTGCAAGCCTGCCTCGCGACCTGGTTAGCTTCGTCTCCTGTTTTGCCCCTTCCGTGCGCCTCAGCCGTGCTGAGAGGGCCTGGAAGGCTGGACTGTCCGCGGGAGCTGTGCTTAGAGGGGAGAAGGACGTGGTCGAGCCCACTCCGGAGATCACAGTCAAGAACCGCATCTATGTGGTCCTGTGAAACCCACTGGGGCTTCTTCCTGGGTCTGTCTGCCACGGCTGGCCTACCGAAGGTGAAGCAAGACTCTACTGCCTGGCTGCCGGCCAGGACTTAAAGATGGACTTCGACGACCTGGTTTTTGCGTCTTCAGGGCTTCTCACTCCATATGTCGTACACGCCCCCGTGGCTGGTGTCCCTCGAGATCGAGATGCTTACGTGATGTGTACCCGGTCTTGCGGAGAGAAGGCGGGCTCTTCCGTCTGGGAGTGTGCCTCCAACCCGCTTTGCGCCTGGGAACGAGCCGGACCTCCCTACAGCAGCCTTCATGGCCCGTCCCGATACCGGCCCTCGCCCAGCCAGGAACGGCCCTGACGCTGCTGGTGAACCACTTCATCCGTCGAACGGACAAGGCCTCGGCAGAGTTCGGGGCGAGCGGCTCAGGTCGGAGCAGCCTTTCATCGAAGGCTCGGGCAGGAGGGAATGCCTCCTCGCCGAACTCTCCACACACAGCGGTGCTTTCATGCGACCTGCTTCAGGAGGATGAACCCGTCCAGCCCTGCCCCTCAAACCTTAGAGGACCCTTCACCGCGTACCTGGAAAAGTACGGCGGAAGGGGGCAGCACCGAGACCTGGAACTCATCATCTACATGGTGGTCGACTTGCTGTCCCTCCTCATCGTTGCGCTGGAACAAGTCAACCAAGACGGAGGAAAGTGGGGGGGACGTCGCGTTTACGCGTCCAGTTGGGCGACTGCCCCCCTAGCCTACTCTCAGCGCAGGCAACAGGGGCAGCTCCACCGTACCAGGACGAGGCGCCCAAGAAACCTCCTCGCAAGCCGCATTTCTCGAAGGGGGTGGAAGCAGGACAAGTAGTGTGCCCTTCTCCGCCTCCCCCACCTGCGCTTTGCCCTGCGAGGCACAGCCGCCGCAAGCTGTGGGAACACCTCTTTCTGCCAGGTCGCTGGCCGGCTCCTTTGTCCACGCCGCCAGGTTTAGGCCCTGCCCCCCCTTGGAGCCCAGGCCTCTAAATTTTCGGAAAATTTAGAGGCTTGGGTTTGTGAAACTTCGCGCCCCACCTGCTTGCCCGGGTCGCCTCCCTAGCCTCGCCTCGTAGCCCCCCTAGTTTCGCTTTGGGCCCTAACCCTGCCGACGGCCCGACAGAGGTTCGTCTGTCTGAGGTTTTGGAACTACTTTACGGCGCCTCCTTAGCTTCACCTCGTAGCCCCCCTAGCTAGTTCTGGTTTAGGCCCGAGGTGAGTGCCCCTACCCGCGAGCTCCATGCCTAAGTCGGCCCCAGACTGCCTGCCCAGCGGAAACTATATACCTGCTGCTCCAGCCCCTCTCTCTCCTTCGAAGTCTGAGCCCTGCAGTGGAGTGATCACGTTCAGGCGGTGGTCGCTCTCTTTTGCATTTCGTATACTAGGTACCAAGACCCCCTTCGCGGCTTTTCTTGGTTCCCTTTTGCACCTCACTCGGGTTGGAGTTCCAGCCCCTGCCAATGCCCTTTTTGCGCTGCCGATGCCCTACTTCGGAGCCTTTCGCAACACCGCTGCCTTAGGGTCGCGGGCCCGGGCTCGCATCGGAATGCGCCGCGTCACCTTTGTGTCTATCGCCGCCCTGAACTATGTGCACGCAGGTGGGCCTACTATGTGCCGCGCCGCCTTGCGGAGGACACCCAACCCTACCCAAGCAAAGGCTTGAGAAACCCAGGCCGAGATCGATGTATGTCCCTGCCTCGTCGCGCCGAGCAAAACAATTACTTGCATGCCTCTCCGAGCTCTCTCAGGAGTTCGCCCGGGGCGTGGTCCTTTGTGACCCTTACTCCCAAACCTTTTCGGCAGCTCGCATGACACCCGATGAGCGGCTGTCAGCTCTGATGCCCTACCGCAGCTTCGATGCCTCTCGCCTGAAACTGTCGGGGTCCGCAAACTGGGACCTAGAGGATGCTCTGTACCTTGCTTTTCGGGAGCCCGAGTCTCTTGAGACCTTTGATGTTCTCGACCCCGGTCCTCAAGATGCTCCTTTATCGGCCGCAGAGCGCCCAGCCGAGCTCCTCAAGGTCGCGCGCTTGTGGGACGCCAGGTCATTGCTGCGGCTGTCTTCGGTCGGCCCTCGCCGGCCCTACAAGGGCGTTCGCCTGTTCAATGCGCCGAAAAACAGCAGCACTGACCGACAGATCGCCGACCGGCGAGGAAGGAATTGGGTGGAAGGTAAGATTCGGGGCTCTAGTGACTCTAGTAGGTTCCTTCCTACTGGCCCATCACTTACTAACCTTTTCCTCAACCCTGCCAGCCACCGCTTTTCGATAAATGTGATGGATCGCAACGATTTTTATCATCAGATCTCCGCGTCACCACAGAGATCCCTGAAGAATCTTCTTATGCCTCCGCTACCGGTTGATTGGCTCTGTGGTACCCAAGCCCTTCGAGAGTTCCAGGCTGCTCGCAAGGGAGGCAGCTGCGAGGCTACCGAGCTTTACCTCTACTTCGGAGCCTTTATTCAAGGCGATGCTTTGGGCGTTGAATTCGCTACCAGTGCCCACTCCGCCTGTGCGAAGGAAGGCGGTCTCCTCGAGGACCAGACCCGGATCCTGGAATCCCGGCTCTTCCTCGGGAGTGCTCGTCGATGGTCTGGTGATAGACGACGATTATGCTATATCCTGCCCCCCGCTGCCCTTCCTGGTGTCGTCGCTGGCACGTGCCCTTGAAAGAGTGCAGGGGCTGAGCTGGGCTCCTCCGCCCGCTGGTCGGGCCACCGGTTTCGAAAAGGATGGGCCTTGCTGCCACACTTAAGGCCTGCGCTCTGCCAAAGACCACCGACCACCTGCATTTGGGCCTCTTGGCAGGATGGACTTCTGCCCTCGTGTGTCGGCGGCCACTCATGTCAATCGACCTGGTTGACTCCGGCCAGGTTAGCCCCTCAGAGTCCGTCATGTACCATCTTCCCCGCGCTGTTGCCCATGAGCTTGTCGTCCTCTCCGCCCTTTGCCACGTTGTAACCTGCGACGTTGCCGCTCCCCTTCGCTTTCATTTCTTGCAGATCGGGGCAAAACAGAGCAAGCTCGTGACCTTGTTGCGGGCGTGTGGCTGGACAGTCGGCCCTCTTCTTGACCCTTCCGAATCTCCTGAATATGACTGGGGTCTGCCTAGGCTTGTTGAGTGGGTTTTCTATCTTGTCGAAGTCGATGCTATCCTTGTTGGGCCTCCCAGCGACGCGTTCTCGCCGCAGTCGCTCCCAGCCGTGGGGAGCCCCGCCGAGGGGGCCCAGGACTCGGAAAGCAAACCGTCTCGCCGGCCACGGCCCTGCCCTTCTCAAGTTGTGCTCGTCGACAGGCCTACCCTGTGCTCTGCTGCACTCAGCCTCTTCGGGGCTCCCGCATACAGGGCAACGGGCCGCCTTGCTTGAGTTCCCCGGTGTTTCTGAGTGGCAGGTTCTCGCCGAGGACCGTCGCAACGGCTGGTGCATACTCTCACACGCCCTCGCCCTTGGTGCGCTCGGAGACTGGAATCTCGGTGTCGTTGAAGAAGGTCCTTATGGCCGCCTTTTGCATCCGGCCCTTGATGCCCAACTCTGCGCTTCTTTCGACTGTGCAATCCGAGCGCGCCTGCAGCTAGCCTCTGCCTGCGACCTTCGCACCGAGGGGCTCGAGTCCGCGCTCGTCAATGAGCTAGCTATTGGGCTTCCCTGGAAAACTCGCCGTGCCTGGAAGTGGCCTAGGCAAGTGCATATCAATATGCTTGAGACTTCCTGTGTCTACAGATTGTTGTGCTGGATTGCCAGGAGAGACCCTGCTGCTCGCAGGGTGTTGTGCTTATGCGACTCTAGCGTCGCCCGCTGCGCCGTACACAAGGGCCGGTCCTCTTCGAACTCCCTCCAGAGAGCCCTCAGGCGCATCGCGGCAGTCCAGGTGGCCTATGGCCTCTACACTCACCTACCGTGTTGCCCTACTCGTTTGATGCCAGCCGAGCATCCCAGCCGCGATGCCGAGATCCCTGAACCGGGAACCACTTTTCTTGAGCCATCTCCCGACCCTCTGCTCGGCTGCCACTGTTCCTCCTCCTCACCGACTTCAGACCTTGTGCGTCAGGCCCCCGCCGCTGCTCAGCCTGGACTTTCCGAGCTTTCACTCCTTCGCCCCTCGACTTCGATTCCACCCTCGGCTTTTCAGGCGAGGGGTCTCGTGCCCCTGTCACTGGACTTCTTTATATCCTTTTCTGGGCCTCCCCCGGTTCGTTCAGGGTCTTAGGAGTCAGCGTAGGTGCGAGCCATGGCCTTCCCCCGACAAACTCGCGGAGGCTCCATACGGAGCTCCCAGCGGGACGCGCAGTTGAGCCAAGGACATAGACACTGTAAACGCGGTTCTTGCCCGCTACGGCCAGGCCTCCTACTCAGCGGGGCGCCCGTACGCCCACTTCTCCGAGACCATTAACAGCTTCAGCGCCGGGGTCCCCAAGGCCGGACGACAACTGCAGCCAGCCTGGGATGTAGCTTTGGCTTGGAGGAAGGTTGAGCCGACCGAGCATCGTACCGCTATGCCTTGGCAGGTGCTGATCGCTTTGGTAGCTCTTAGCCTCTCATGGGGCTGGCCCCTTGTAGCAGGAACTCTGGCCTTGGCTTTCGGCGGCATGCTCCGGATTGGCGAGGTCCTTGGAGCCTGCCGCAAAAGCCTGGTCCTGCCAAGAGACGTTGGAGGCACTGTTGACTTCGCCCTCTTCTCTATCGAAGAACCGAAGACAAGGTTCCGATCGGCCCGCCACCAATCGGTAAAGATCGACCAACCCGACCTCCTCAAGGTCATCGAGCTGAGTTTCGGCGAGCTGTGTTCCACCAGCAGGCTTTGGCCGTACTCTGGGCAGTCGCTTCGGACTAGGTTTAGGCAGCTTTGCCGGGCCTTCGACATACAAGCCGCCCCTGGAAACAACAGGCCTTTCCTGGAACTCGTTTTTTCAGGGCTGGCGGAGCAACCTGGTTCATGCTCATCTCCGAGGATGCCGAGATTCTGCGTCGTCGGGGCAGGTGGCTCTCATCCAGAATCATGGAGATTTACGTGCAGGAGATTACCTCTTTACGGTTTTTACCAGCTCAGTCTGAACGAACCAAGCTCTGCATATACACGGCTATGCAATGCTTTCATGACATCCTCAATGAGGCTACCTTCCTGATCAAGATCAAGGTTCCGGTTCAACACTGGTATGTCTTGTTCGCCTCTGGTACGCGTGCTTGAAAGCACAGATTGGATGGAGATGGGGTGCAGGCGTTCATGTACAGTGATGTCGCCTTTCGGCAACTCGTGCTACAACCGCACGAGGTGCAAAAAGACCGAACGGCTTTTGCAGCTTCTGCCTTAGGGCTGATATGAGACCTTGAACACAGTAAGGTCGAATGTCTTGGCCGTGGCTTCTCAATCATCCCACCCGCCCATCCCGCGCCCAGAGGCGTTCATGTACAGTGATGTCGCCTTTCGGCAACTTGTGCTACAACCGTACGAGGTGCAAAAAGACCGAACAGCTTTTGCAGCTTCTGCCTTAGGGCTGATATGAGACCTTGTCTAATGCTCGGTGGGTGTTTTGCTTCGCGGAGACCGGCCACGCTGGTATTTCGGCACACAATTTTCGAGCCCCACAGCGGTTGTGAGCTGATTCTCGGGGTTCGGGTTTTGCCAGTTTGAGAATCACAAGACGGCAAAAGCAGCCGGCGTGCAGAGAGGCCTCATTAAGATGCAGGAGGGACCGTCTGGGTCCGGATGTTCTCTTTGGATGGGTTTTTGGGTCAAACGGTGGGCGGGCGAAGGCTTGGCTGTATGCTGCGTAAGCATGCTTTTACTGTGCTCAAGGATGGGGACCCAACCGAACAATGGGGCAGGTTCAAAAATGAGGGGTGAAAGGAATGGAGGCAGAATTCGTCGTGGTTGTGGAGGCGGTAGTGGTCGTGCCGGTTAGTCGCAGCATGTGGTCGTGGTCAACGTGCCGAAATGGTCAATTGATTTTTGTGTTAATACGGCACCGTTTGTCATCAACAACGAGCAGTCGAGTTGCCGCAGCTGTTGGCCTGGGGCCAACACTATGAATTCTCGTTTGGTTTGCTAACCCGTCCATGCCATGGTCACGAATTCTGGCTATGTCCTTCTGGCATCACTCCTGCCATGGATAGTTGCTAGCATTCGAGGGAGACTTGATCTTTCAGATCCACCGGAGGAGGTCCCCAAGAATGAAGATCGCCTGCAGTGCCTTCGGCAAGACAACTTGGACCTGGTTGGGACGAAGGACTTCGGCGAGCGCTTCGTCGTGCGCATGGTCCTGGGTGTCCATGAAGACGACACAGACAGTGACGTTTATCTTTTTGCTGAGAACTTTCGGTTAAGCCGTGTGCAGGCCGAGTTGAAGTTAACTCGAACCGGTGTGGATGCTTTGGAGTTCGAGCTTGTGGGAGACGACTCTATCGGGAAGCATACTGGACTCGGCCAAGCAGACCTGTGGGTCAGTGGCTTCCAGGTCGTCACTGGGAGTACTATCATCAGTTGGGCCTCGAGCCTCGCAGCGAACCGCGATACCCTAGCAAAGGGCCAGCACCTCTATTCTTGTTTGGAAATGCTCTGGCTCGATGTTGTACTCAGTACCACTTGTTTGGCAATTCGTTGTAAACTTGATAATGTGGCCGCCGTTGACTTTTTTAGATGAGGAACGGCACGGTCCACTTCGATCTCGCCGGGAAGATACATGCAAAGAAGAAGAAGGGCAGCTGGGTGGCGGAGTTGTTCCAAACGAAGGCACGGGCATGCACCGGCGTTTGGCCCATGATCAGCCAAATCATGTCTGCCGTGTGTCAGAAATATGAAGCCGTTTACTCCGCCGGTCCGACTTGACCCTCCCAGACTGTTTCCTATCCCTTCGTCGCACCACCCCACAGGCCCGCCTGTAGAGCGCTCAAATGCACAAGCAAAAATGGCTTATCAGGTGCGATACTTCAGTTTCAGCTTCGAGAACCAACAAATCCTGGACTTCGCGCTGAATCGATTTGGCCCACGCCCCAGCTTGCAGGATGTCAGGACGTCCTGACGTTTTTGATGTGCTGACCACTGTTAGTTCTGGACGTGTGGAGATTGTGTTCTTGTGTCGCGCCTTGACTTTTTTTCTGCACCCCGCACCTTGAGCCGGACCTCCAGCCTTGGTGCATCTTTCTTGGGATCGCTTCCCAATCTCCTTATCCTGTCTTGGACCTTGGATAGATTATGTCTGACTCTCCTCAAACCTCAATAAGGCTTGGGAGATCTGCTTTTGCCTCCAGGGCCGCCTTGCGGATGGGAGGGGAATCTTCAGCTACTGATGCGAGACTTTGTTCCTTCCCTGCCCCGGCTGGTTATTAAGTAGATTAGATCCGTGAGAAGGTCAGAGCTCTTCGCCTTTGTGTAAGCCGGGTGATCTAACATCCGTATCTTGCCGCCCCTGCCAGGTTCAGCTTCGCAAGCTTCCCTGTCCCCAACCGAGGCGGCATAGACCAGTGGCTCTTGGATAACCTCTTCAAATTGGTCGAGCCGCGGCGCATCAGAAGTGGATTTCTGAGCACGGAAGTGACAAGCACCTCAAGCAAGCTCGAAGGAAGCAAACTGACTTGCTTCCAGCACAGGCGATGTGTGACCGGTAATTGGTCAACGCTGATGCGTGTCCCAAGGTGCAGCTCCTCCAACCTCCCATCCCCCCGTCTCAGACAAAGGGGATAGGATCTACAATCCAAGGAGGCGGCCGTTCCTATCAACCTCCTGGCCTCCCTACAGTTCCTGCCGCTGAGGGAGGGCCGGCCACCTGAGCTCCAGGACGTCCCTGCCCAAAACCGCTAAGCGTTTGGTGTGCTCTAGGGCCCTCTCGACTCTAGACTGTGCTCGCAACGGACCCACTCCAGGACCTTTGGCTCAGCGGGCGGATGAAGCTGTCCGGGCAAATGACAGAGGCGACCGGAACACGCTGAGCCAACGAACATGTGTCACGTGAGTTTTTTGCATTCGTGCCGTGTGCGTCATTCAGCAAGCTTGTGGGCAAGTGGCTTCGAAGGTGAATGGCGATCTTGCGTTGGAGTCATCGTTTGACTTGACGGCACACACTGTACCGGCAAGGCCACGGCCCCAGTATTCTGGATTTCCCGGCCGAGAGTTTGTGGAAGTGTGATCGGAGTTGCTTAATGCAGGCTTCTCGACGTTCTGATCAACAACTTTGACGTGGAACGCCTCGCGGAGGCACGCAGAGTCTGTGTATTCAGTGCTGAACAGTCGAGGTGCGAGTGCTTTCGCTTTGGATTCATTTAGCCCAATTTCATTCGGAACGCTTTCTAGTGTTGTTCTCCTTACGTAGGGCATGGTTGCCAGGAGGCTGCAATCATGTTGCGAGTATCAGTGTTTCAGACTACTCAGAGCGCTAAACTCCGCAGCCTGCCGCGAGTTTCGACCAGTCCACCACCGTCTGCTACTGTACAGCATTTAGAAAGTATTAGTGCAGGGGAAAGGCCAGGAACGCCAAACAAGCCAAAGCTCCGTTTGAATCGATGCACAGCTGAGTCTGCAAGTGTTGTGAGGAACTGGTGGGTGCTTTCCTGGCAGACCCCAAAGTGGCGAAGGCCAGTCTCCAAGATTCTAAATGGTCCTGTGGCTTCGAGAGAGCATGCACATTTTCATTTTAGCGGCCGACACCCCAAGTCCGGATGCAAAAGAAGGTGGGGGTCTTGAAGTGTAGCGTGGGTGGAGGGACTTCCGGCTGTGGAGTTGGGCAGTTGAGCAGTTCGAAGGCCGTCGTCAGCTTGGGAGGCTGCAAAGCACAATGGGGGAGAACTTCAGTTTGCAACAGACAGCAGGGTGCGGATTCAACAAAGAACAGCCAGAGGTCGGCCTGTCAGGGCTCTTGTCCTATTGCAGGCTGTCTCCTCCTTCACTTAGTACCAGTGTACTCGAGGTACTCAGCACTGGGCACCCTGCTAGTGTTGCAACACTCCCTTGTCGACATGATGAATTGCCCCAGGCACTGCAAACTGGCGGCAAGAATTTGATCGAGAACCTGCGCGAGTACAGCATCTCTGCGTGCAAGTGGTAGGGATGACTGCTGGAAAAGTTCGTCTCTACCATGGGTGGGAGACACTCACACAGGACACAGTTGTCAGGACAGTCTGTTGTAGACGACGATGAACGGCCTAGGATTCGTGGTCAGCGGCCAGCTTAAGTCCCTCACAGAGAAGGAGGCAGTTGTTGCCAGTTGGCTTCGTGTCATGACATGGAGGGTTTGGAATGAGGGCAAGCGATTGCATTTCAACGCTGCAGCGTCGGTTGTGGGGATCACAGCGATGTAGCAAAACTGGACTTGGGACGACGGACCTTTTTCGAGCGCTGCCTGCATTGTCTGCAGATTCCCGACCCGAAGACCGAGGTTTGAGGGCCTCCGCCCAACTGTTAGGGCCACCCCGATGCCTCGAGGGCTTGCGAGGTCCCCATGGTGGAGATCATGGGAGCAGCAGAACAGGAAGACAGACAGAGACACAGTGAGACAGATAGAGGGACAAAACAGGTTTTGCAGATGGGGAGGCTTCACGGACAGACACGTCACGGGTGGGTGCACGCATGGGTAGGTCCACTGACGAATCAGCCGGCTAAGCGAATCGGGGGGAGACACGGGGTTAGCCTGAGGTTGTGCCCCACGCAAGTGCGCACGGGCTCTTGGGAAAAAACTTGGCGGAAAATTCTTATTTGGCCTCTTCTCATGTCGCAAGTCTGCGTGCGGGGACCCCTTCATAGTGTTTGAAACTTCTCTGCGTTGTGTTAATCTTGCCTCGGCGATTGCAGCATGTCCTGCACCTTGACTTTAATCAGCTTCAGTCATGACCTCATTCTTGTCCCGCGCCCATTCCCGTCTCCTCCAGGCCGCCGTCCTTGGTAACGGAGGGTGCGCGAGGTTCATGTCCGGCTGGTCTTCCTAGTTCCGGCGTGTCGGCAGGATTGCCTAGGTCCACGGTGTGGTTGCATGCTGTCTCTTTCCTACTGTTGGGCCACCCGTTAGGTATTCGTCTGGTTTCTGAACAACCGGGTCCCCACAAGCACAAAGATCCCACCTAAGCTTTACGGCGAGTGGCCTCAAGCCGCCGCTCAGGGAATGCCTCCAGCCCCCGCCGGAGTCTCCAGCCAGCAGGCCGCTGGCTCCGGAAGTCGCCCTCATGCGTGTGCTCCGGCCCCCTACTGGCGCCGAAGAGGGGGGAAGGAAGGAAGGAAGGAAGGAAGGAAGGAAGAGAGAGACAAGCCAGCACCGACCCACAGGTGAACCTGGAGTCGCTTCGTCCAATCCTGCTGGAGCAAGCCAGGCCCGACACGGCAACAGGGGAAAGGGCATGTGGGGACAAGGGGCGCAGCCAGAAGCCTCCAACGCGAAGCGCTTGCCAGGAAGATCACCAGCGATCTACTGGTCCAGTTTTTGCAGCCCTTCCTGAAGGACCCCGATGTGCACGGGTTTGGGTCACCGTTTCGCCGTGCACACGCCAGGCTCATGCAGAGGGCAAGTCCGACTACTTCCGGGGCTGCCCGGTTGAGCCAGATCTCAAACCATCAAAAAACACATCAGGGCTGCTGCGCTTTACCTCAAGCATCAAGTTCCCCCCCGACGTGGCATCACCAAGTTCAACATGGAAGCACTGCTTTGGCATGTTGGTTCCAGCCACACTGCATCCCAACGTGGAGAGGGCAACCACGAAACTACCCGTCCACTCCGAGGTTTCAACGTGCAGCTGGGTGGCGGTCTTCACTGGGATCCATCGGTTGAGAATGGCCTTGCACGGGTGCAGCTCCACCCTACAGAGCTGAAGCTTCTGGGCCGGCGAGCTTGGAAGTCCTAACTTGCAGCTGGCATCGGTGTCGCCGGAATGCCGATAAACCGTTACATCTGAATAATCGTGCGGACTGATGTGTGCGTTCTCCCTTTTTCCAGATTTGTTGAGCTGTTGTCGTAGGCCGTGTCGGTGTCAGCTTTTGGGGCGACTGGGATGACATTGGATGCCTTGCTAGCCAAGGCTACAAGCAGGATTGGATGATGATGAGAATCCACTGTAGCTCTGCTCCAAATACTACGATGCATAGAGTGTGAGGGCCACAATACGCCGCAATGTAAGACATCGGCATTCCAGACGCCCACCGCCGACGAACGGGCCATCCTAGTTGTAGTAAGCGTTCAGCAGGTCAGCAGGTGCGGCCCATAGGGCGGATAGACTTCCCGCTTTTGGGCATTCCCTCGCCAGCCCCTTGCCAGCCCCTTGCGTGGTGCTTGAAGTTCCCGGCATCGCTCCAGGTACAGCTTCGCAGAGGCCCCTCTGGAGTTGGCGGATGCACTTGCGCTCCTTGAGCCCCGGCCTGGGGCGAAGGTTGGGGTTCTGTGTTGCAGACAGGAGAGGAGGGGCCTCTGCGGTCATCTTCGGGACGGAAGCTTTTGCTACTTTGTCTTAGGGGAGTCGGGGCACGGCAGGCATTTACTGGGGCGTGTTCTGAGGAGCTGCTTCCGAAGCTCCCGGTGGAGGGCGAGTTGGCAGAAGTCGAGTTCAAGGCTTTCGAGTATGACTCGAATCAAATTTCCTTGGCTCTCGCTGCCATTCGCAACTGGGCGCAGAAACCCGATACCAGCGCGAATGCAACATTGAAGTGGCAAATTATAGTGGCCGAGGCCGAGGATATTGTGCTAAGGCTTCCGCAGGCATGGGCTCTGCCTTTTGCTATGTCGTGCATGGGTGGCGAGATGGCAATCGACCATTCCGGCACGATCCAATTGTTGAGTCGTCGCAGTGGAATCGAAGTCAGACAGACACAGCCCTTGTCCCGAACCAGCAGAGCAGGACCGCAGCGCATCTCCAAGGTGCCCGAGTCTGCAGACGGGCGTGTGCCAGTGGAGTTCCGGAGACCGACGACCAGTCAGTTGGACATGACCGTGGTTGACAGGATCCAGCAGGTAGGCGGAAGTGTGAGCGTGAACATTGTCGGGAATGACAAGGGAAGCCTGCCAATTAAGATCAGTGGAACACTCCAGATGAGACTAGATGTCAAATCCGTCGCGGCTTCTGCTCTGGCAGCTTTGCCCACCGAGGATTTTGGATACGTTTTCTTTGCCGATGAGTTTACATGGCACAAATCCAGCGGGAAGGTTTACAAGGTCATGGCAGTGCTGAGCTGTGGGTACCTTCGCTTGCTGGAGTGGCCACTGCGATCTGATCCGTTGAAGAGGCTGGAGATGAAGACTGAGCAGCTGCAGTTCGATTTGGCGAAGATGACGAGCCATCCGACTATTGAGGACAAGGAGCTGGGACCGTGCTTGCTTCTGACGCGCAGAAAAGATGGCTTCTTTGTTGGCTACTCCGACGTAACGGAGCGTTTGTGTGCGGCAAGAAGACAGGTACAAGCCCTCGGCAAGGCAATCGCCATGCAAATACGTCGATTCGACACTAAATTTCACAACCCCCAGGCTGTCGATTGGAGATATGGCACACATGTAGCAGGCAAGCCGCAGTACGTGCTGCCCCAGGACACCGCGCAAACAAATCTCCTGCTAGCCTTGGACAATCACACGTGGAGCAAGACACAAGGAAGCTCCAGCCACCCCGCGCTGCTTCAAGCTGCGGCCACCTCAAAAATCAGCTTTAGGTCGGTGACAGAAGGCCACGAGATGCCCCAGCATGTGGGAGCACGGCATTGGACGGAGCTACCAAAAACTCTAACCCAAAAGGGTAGCTTCGAGTCCAAGGCTTGCCGTGCGCAAGAGGAGCTGGATTCCATCCGCTATCCACCGGAGAAGTATGGCAATGCCTCGATTCGTATGGTCATACCGGAAACTCCGATTGGTGATGTGCATCTCCTCATCGAGAAGATCCAGGTCGTAAGCTTTCACATTGTAGGAAGTCTTGTCCGCAACAGCGACACGACCTTCTCCTTCGAGCTTGGGGGCAGCGATGGGCCTGGAACCGTGGACATCTATGTTCAAGGAGACGCGGCTGCACAGATCACATGATTTGTCCTCGAGAGCCTATCGGTGAAGGTTGCGACAAGCTGATAACTAGAAACCTCGGGTTCTCAGCGTCGCTGCTTCGAATCGTCGACACCCAGGAATCAAGTTCAAGGCACCGGACTCTGCACTCCCGGGCATCACGAAGGCTGCTGCAAAAATCGACAGCTTCTTACGGCCAGCCCCTGGCCTCAACAGAAGGCCGAGCGAGGCATGCCGAGGCCTAGTTTCAAGCATTCCTGCTCTGGCTATTGGAGCAGCAGCTGGGCCCCGTGCAGCTCAGGTCTTCACTTTGGGAACCTCCAAGGCCGACAGCCTCAAGGAGGGGCCTTTGAAGACCAGCTTCAAGATGAAGGGGGAGTTCAAGCTGAGCGAAGGCGCGGAGAGGGCCTTTGGATGGAAAGCTCAGACGGAGACTATGAGCCCATGAGCCCAAGCTCAAGCCTCTGTCCAGAACCACAGAACAAAAGCGCAGGTGGGCATTGGGAGGTGCTGCCCAAGGCCGTCTCTGACGTGAAGTTGGTCTTCGGACGCGGAGGTATCGTTCAAGGCAAGGCGTCGAATCCAGAAACGTATTGGCTCGTTGTCCTCGTGACCCTATCTGAGGGGGAGCCAGATGAGGTGATACTTCGTTCCCAACCCTCAAACCTGGGTTACAGGCATTCCTAATGGCATGTCGTCTCCGTCTCTCCTCATGTCCAGACACGGCCTCCGCAGTAGTAGCCATTTGTTTCCCACTGGCATGCTTGCACTCTTCTTGGGGTTTGGATGGTTTCTGGCTGTTGGATTCATTCCCCTGAAATCAAACGTGGCTGTGGCAAGGGCTGATCAACCAATTGGTGGACTCCTACGGGAACATGGATGCTGCTCGTTGTAGACAAGCCCTTTCAGATAGCCGGGTGGTTTCCGAAGAAGGACGGGCTAGCATGGCTAGCCGAGTAGGGTGGTGCTCAGGAGATCTTTCTGACTTCGGTGTGGCCAGTGCTGGCGAGCGCCATCCCAGAGAGTCTGGGCCAAGCTTTCGTGCAGATTCCGAGAAGGCCGGCTCAGGATCTTTGAGGATGTCGGCTGACGTGCCGCGGTAGGACACGAGGTCTTCGTCCGCACACGTCCCGTGAGCGCTCAGAGCCTCCGAGCCTACTTCCCACAGCGGCTTGGCAGGGATGGGCAGCTCCGGCACCGCTTCAACCTCCACGGCCACTGCTTGGTACCCGTCGAGGACGGGGAGCGATGCGAGACCGACCAGGACGGAAGGGGGGGTCAGGAGGGACGGGGCCCCCCCTCCCCTTTCTCAAGGGGCCAGTACAACTTCATCCTAGCCGAGGCAATCCGCAGCATACATCTGAAGGCAGCAGCATTGCCTAAGGCCGCAGGTTTTTTTGGGGGTGGAGGGAGGGGGGGTGGAGGGCAGGGAGGGCGCAAGAAAAACATGAAGACATAAAGAAAGAACGAACGAACAAACGAACAAAATACAGAAATAAAGAACGCAATAATATCTAAATAAACGCCTAAAGAACACATGAACGAACAAGATACACAAAGACAGCACGAAAGAAAAACAGACAGAGAGACACCCGAAAGAAAGACAGAACGGAGAAGAGAGTAAAGGAACCGACGGAAGATCGACAGACAGAAAGAAGACACCGGAAATATGTAACGTAAAGAAAGAAATAGCACAATAAATAGATAACGAAATAGCGAACTAACGAAATGAATGAATGAACGAATGAATGAATTATAATGAATACAGGAGGGGAAGGCTAAATAATCAACGACGTAACGCAAGAACTAAGGAATACCGACGTACACAATCACAGTAAGAAAGGCATACATAATAAATAAAGGGCGATCGAAAGAGATAACGGCACAAACAAATATAGTCAACTACAGAAAGAATGAACGAACTAAGCCAAGTAAAGAAAGAAACAAAGAACGCAAGACAGAAATAACGAATCAGGGACACAACGAAATCAGTCAATAACGACATAAAGACAGAAATGGAGGAAAGAGAGAGAGAGAGAGAGAGAGAACACATCTGGGAAGAAGAGAACACATGCCAATGGCCTGAGGGTCGAGTGATCGACCCCTACGCCCTGCAGAAAGAAAGAAAAAGAGAGAACACATGCACGATAGACATATAGTTAGACAGAATGCACGAAAAGAAAGAACGACACCCGAGGGTAAGCAAACGCTTAGAGTTGTTCCTGTTTCTTGCGTTGAGGAACGAGCTTTGCCATGCTTCGTTCAGCGTATGCTTCGGTTTTATGACTGGTTTTATGAACCAGGTCGCACAACAGCATACAAGGAGCGCTGCGTCATTCACATTGGCTTACCAACGTCTGCTCGCCTTTTCAATGAGCTGCCACCTCCCTCCGAACAGCTTTCGTCCGTTCTTCTCTTAAGTTTCATATGGTCTCTGAGCCTATCCCATGCAAAGACCGTGCCCTGGCAGGTCAGCATTACCCTTCAAGACCTCACGGAAACAGCTATCTTGCCAAAGCCTCTGGCAGAGAAGTATCTTGTGAGCCGCGTGGCTGCACTGAAACTCTGCACGACGGTGCTGTGGCGAGTGCATCAGCTCGCGCTCGCAATCTAGCGGGCGCTGGCCACCCTGCAGCTGAGGCCAGAACTGCTCCAAGTCCTGTGAGGCCCGGCTGGACCCCGCGTGTGAGGGGTTGTGAGAATGTTCGGTATGCCGGTATGCGCGCGGTAACGATGGCCCTGGTCCGGCATGTTCACTCTTTGCACGCTGCTTTCGTTGGGAGGCGGTGGAACAGTCGATGCCCATGCTGCTGCTGCAGTCCTATGTCAACTCCTCCGCGGAGGTGCGCCGGAAAACGATATGCGAAATGGGTTCAGCATCATCGATGCCTAGAACCTCGCAGTTTCTGCGTGGCTTTAAGCCCTACTGCCCTCCCCTACGCGAAGTTCTGGTTGTGCAAAATGCGTAACTGTAGGGGTGAAGGCATAGTGTGTTCTTGGAAGCCCAGCAAGGTTTGGCAACTGAATTCCTTTACCAGCTGGGTTCGCGACCGTGCCTCACACCGCACACTCACTGAATCAAGACAGTTGTTTGCCGGCTTGCCGGCTTGCGTTTTGAAAATGTGGAGATGCAGATGGAGTTGACATCGCACACCTGGCGGGACCCCCGTCATAGATGCTGCCTTCAGGGACGTCCAAATCCTTAGGGCCCGGAGGCCCGCTGGAGACAACCATGGCTCATTCCGAGGGCTTGGGCTCATCGCACCTAACCTTTGCTTGTTCAACAACAACATTCAGCACGGGAAGCTCTACCTATCTCAACGTCTCGCAGCGTACAAACTCTAGCCGTGGGTTTGTTGCAAGGCCTCTGTTTTCAGTGGCACCTCCACGGACACTATGCTCGAAGTGGACTACTCAGTCAAGCTCTTTGGCACAGAACTATAACTATAACTGCTGTGGGTTGTTTCGGCGTTGCTGGGTGTTATGGGGGTTCAGGCTCAGGTTTCAGCATGTCTAGGTCCAGGTCAGAGTCTAGATAGTGTGCCTCACTGCTGCTTTTT